GTCTCAAAATCATTTTCTTCTGGGGAATACTCGCACAAACCTGTGATTAAATGCACTCTACTGCCTAGTTATGATGATGTTCACAAGTAACACTGGCTGTAGGAGCAAGACAAAATCTGTGGTCCACCAAAAAGTTCAGTTGCTGTTGATTCCTTAGAGGCAGTGAACTCAGATATTAGCAAACATTTCCAAAGGTCACTAAGGTACTACAAAAAATGCTCAGAAGGTGAAGACTGAAGACTATTTCTTTTTGAACAGCTTATTTTTTTAAAAACATTTTAGAACTTGCCTGTTTTTCTGTACTTTTTTCTTCAATTGTGCACTAGTCTGACTTTACCTGAGGCATAAAACTACATATATGTGCAGTCAACTCCCTTCCCATACCTTTCGTTTTTTAACATATTATCTGAAGTACTGTTAAATGATTTGATAGGCAATACATTGATTTGTACTGGGTTTTTTTCTGCTGTGTTACATGAAAACCTGGTTATCTATAGCCATCAGTTCCACTACAATAGGGCCTTGGAGTATGATTAGACTTTAAATTTTAGTAGGGTAAGCTACTTGCAAATGAGCTCTTGAATTTACACTACTACCTTGGATATGACTAAGTAGAAGAATGAATTGCCTTGAATCACAGAATGCCTTTGTTGTCAGATCCCAAGCCAAGCAGTGGGCTCTGTTACTTTTAGGGGACATTAGACTTTCAGGGACATTAATTAGGTCACACTTACATAGATAGTAGCACCAAATAAAACTGAAATAGAAAAAAAACAGAGGGTGGACAAAATCAGAGGAGTCAGAAACATCAAATTACTTCTCCCTGCCTATTCAACAGCTTTTTCATGACCAATGGGAGCTTTGCCAATTAATTTCAATAGGAGGAGAATCTGGGTTGGTTTGAGGTTTCCTGATTCTGCCCACAGCAACACAGATGCATTCCAGACCACTCTCAGGAAGGGGGGGAAAAGAACAGGGCAAATTCACAGTAACTGTGGCAATAGGAGGGACGGTTCTCTTTGGTATCATGTAATTTTGAAATTCAGTAGCTGCTTTGTGCCATGACATGTGTTTCTCCCCTCTGTCAAATTAATGTTTTCTTCCCATGCAGAAGGCCCACCAGGGAAAGAGCACAGATGAAAATCATCAACACAAACAGCCCCCAGAAGCCTTTTCACATTTCCCACCTCACATCTGTCATAATGGCAAAATCATGTTTGCAAACAACATGAAAAAAACTGCCTTAAACATGGTAATTCCCCAAAACACAGAGAATTAATGCAGCCTCTTCTGTGAATGTCTCTCAATCCGTGTGAGCGATCACTGGTAAAAAACTACCTTAGCAGAATGCCAAGACCTCTGCTATGGGGAGCAACAGCTAAAGGATGCACAGATTGTCTGACTCTGGCTGCAATTATCTTCCTTTCTTACCCTTTTTTTCACTAAGATCCTCACTGTTGTAGTCCTTGGACTTGATCATTTCATTAGGACTGTAAACACAGAATGAGACTTAGGGCAAGGTTTGACAGCTTCAGGAAAGTAGCAGAATATAAAAAAGATAATCAATGATGCCCTAAGGACTGTCATAGGCAGTCAAACCTAAAAGGGATGCAAGTGAATTTCTCTTCCACCTTGTGTTCTCTGTTTTACAGGAGGCAGTTTCCATGCTGACAAGCAGGCAGCACTCTCTACAAAGTAAAAAGACAGCAAAACCTGCCTCTGCAGCTGCCAAGGACAGAGAAGAGACTGGAAACATATGTTCTCTGTGTTTGGGATGCTTCAGTTTAGGTAGACTACCTGGGTCAGGGCCCAGATGGTGTAAACTGCTGAATCTCAGAGCTTAGGTTAGCTGAGACTCTGGTTTAATAAGTATATTTTAATTAAACTTCTGAACTATTCTGATATTCCTTATTAACTCCCCACAGAGCCTCCAAACAACCTCTGGGGGAAAACCAAAGAAGCAAAAACTGATGTGACTTCTTCAAAGTAACCGTGTGAGTCCCTGCCAGAGTTCAGGCAGGAGCACGTCTCCTGAGCATCAGTACAACATAACTGATGCAAAGGCCACCTCAGAAGTTTACTGAGCTAAGACAGCAGCTTAAGGAGGCCTGAACTGCCCCGTGCATTTCAGAGAATTGTTATCTGAAAGTCTCAGGGCTGATACCTTAAAAGTCAACATTAATTAATCAGTGAACGAAGTGTGCTGGAAAGGGGCAGAAACGTTCATCTGTGCAGTTCAGGATGTTGTACTAGAGACAGAAAGCGGTGAGCTTTGAAGAGCACTTGAACGAAAAGCACACTGAAGGTGCATATGAGGCAACTGAGACAAACACAAAAAGACAAGGAAGCTATTGGAATCTTGGTGATGCAGTCTTGGACTGCTAGTAGGTGGGATTCAAATGTCTTGGGAGCACTCAAGCCAAAGGGATTCCTGAGGGAATTTACAACTGTGCCATCTGTCCCTTACAGTTGGAGCTCATTTTGTAGATGGCTTTTGGAAGAGAATTAATACCATGTTTCTCCCTCAGATTAACCCTGACTGACTGCTGGCATGAATGCCAAAACATTCAATACAGTAGCTAACACACCAGGCAAACCCACCCCAAACAAAACATCCTGTCACTTACTCAGCACCTTTTCTGTGGCATTATCTTAAGCTGAAGCCATGAAGGAAAGGGTCTCTGTTTCTCAGTTTTTCTGACTCAGTGTTCTTTCAACCCAATTTGTAGCAGATCTATCAAGCCCCAAGAGCAGTACAGCTGCAATGTGACTCAGCTTCAGGACAGCAGACAGACCTTGTCAGAGCTGGTTAGTGGTCTGCAGAACCTGAGTGGGTTGAGATGGTTCACAGGCACCCTTTACTTACATAGCCAGAAAAGCCTGTGGTGAGGAGACCAAGATACAGCACTGGATAGTACACCAAGGCTAGAAAGAGGATTAATTTGGTATTCATAGATACAGGCCACAGGCACTAAGAATGGTGCCTGCTCTAAATGGGGCACATATATCAGAGGAATAGGCAAATATTCACAGTGACCTGCTTGCTTGGTCTCTGCCATTCTCTTGTGCTGAAATTTTTGTTAGCATGACCACTGTCCCCAGAACATGGCCAAAATCAGTCCACAGCCTTCCTTTGTATCCTGTACAAAGGTGTAATTCTACTGTTTAGTGCTAGGCACTGCAGACTGCAGATGTTTGTTTCCAAGCCTGGTCTGCATGTAATAAAAACAGATAACGTACCCCAAAGCCACAATGTCACAGAGAATGTGCTCTGTACAAGGGTTTTGTCAACAACCACTGCCCCTAGACCTGACACATGGAATCAATGGCATTGTAGACATTGCACTCATTAGTAGCTTGGAAAAGAAAGGGCTAACAAGTTAGTTTGCTAATAATAGTAGGTAATTCTATAATTAACAGTCAATTATGAAAAATTCTAGACAACTAGTAAGATGAAAGGGGACTAATTTTTATCAATCATGTCTTAAAAGCCTCACTTTATTAAACTGAACAGGAAGAACTGAAAGCAAGCTGGAGATGTACTATCTTTCAGTTCTTAATATCACCAACCAAAAAAGGAGCTTGTTAGCTTAAATATGGATTGACTGCACTCAACAGCACATGCAATGAATCTTCATCTTACATATTCATGTATTGTATGCCACAGAGCAGCAAATTTTGGCTATGAATAATAAATTCATTTCTGAATGATTACTGAGGTTAAATTGTGAAAGTAAGCTATATGACCTATGAAGACAGTAGCATAAAAATCAAAATAACCTGATTTGGGGAAAGTCTGAGCGAGTTACCACAGTGACTCCTGCAAGTCCAGATACCTAAGTATCATGGATATAACCTGATATTAATGACCTCACTTTTTTTTTTTTAAAGAACTCAAGTGTTCTGACAGTGATAGTGCTCATTCCCCAAAAGGTTATTAACATCTGATAAAAATCTTGCTAAAGCAAGAAAAGCACAACTTTCCCATGTCCAATCTTCTTATTACTAGCATATATGATTCTGATTGGATCATCCCATGGATTTTGGTTGTTTGGTAGGAAGGATGATCTCCAGGGAAGTGTTTCATGTCTTCTCTTCCAAAATCAAACTAAGAAAATGCACATTCCTGCAATGAAAGCTAAGAGTAGAACCAGTGTCCATTAACCGTGTAAAGGTTCCAAGTCTGACATTTCCCCAAGTGCACAACCAGCAATGATAACTGCTAATTGTTTCTGAAGTGTTATGTACCAGCCTGTACTGGTAAAAGAGAAGGTGGAAGGAGAAGATTCAATAAAGGTAATTCAATGAAGAAAGCACTGCTTTCTCCAAGCCCTTCTGTCTTCAGGATTCCTAATAAGAAGAGACTGGTGGTGAATTTTCACTTCATACAAACATCTTGTCAACTCCAGAACAGAAGAATAAAACCCTTACAAGAAATGTCTGAGAGCTTAAATCCAGCCTGGAAAAAGGAAACACAAATCCACTGATTTCAACGAGTTACGGATTGCCCACTTCATGTACAACAGGGTTGATTAGGCCCTTCTCCCACACTGTAGCACTGTTTTGCCCAAGAAACCTTTGCTTTTTAAGTACCAGCCATTTGTAAACAGCCTGTAACACTGAACTGCAATTACATAAATGAATAGGAAACACACGTATATTTTAAAACTTTTCTCAGTAGTGGAAGAGCAAGTATTGACCTATTTTTTCTGTTTTATATCAAGATCTTATATCAATATCACAAGCAAAACACAAAGGATCTGCAGAATATCAGTTATTGCACACATATTTCTGCTTCCCACAGTTTCTGATGGGCATTAAACTGGAATCATGTATAAGCACAGTGCATGTCTCAGGAAGAACTTGTTCTTCCTTTTAAGCCATCTCAGCACTACAGCAGGTGGGCACAGGCTCTCTTGCTAAAAGCACAGAGAGAGAGAGAGAGAGAAAGAGAGAATGAGAAAGAGAGAATGAGAAAGAGAGAGAAGAAAGTTGCTTACTGTTTCGAGGCTTCTCCTCATCCATGCCTTCATCTTCATTTTCTGGATCAATATCTTCTGCTTGAGTTATCCAGTCTAAGTATCCCTTCAAATCCTCCTCTAGCTGTTGTTTTTCCCGTAACTTCTGGAAATCGCCTCGAGCCTTAGCCTTCTCTCTTTCTTTGGAAAACTCCCTAGCAAGAGGGAGGGAGGGACAGGACATGGGTGGAGGGAAGGAAAACACGGAAAAACAATGGGTTAGATTGATTTCCACTAGAAAGTCTCCTCAGCCTGTGTAGCACACCCAGCTTTCTCTACTCTTTCAAGACAGACACATGAATGAACCATCCCTTCTAGATACACATGTAAAACAGCTGGAGTGTCCACATTTCTACCAATACTCAGGAAAAGATTAATACCTGTTTTTAATCCTTTAATTCTCAACATTTGACTGACTATTCAAATAAAACACATATGTAACATTTCTGTGCAATTTTCTGTACAATGCCATACACTTTCTAATATTCTTTACCACTTGATATTCTCTAACAGTTGTCCACAAATATCTATATGAATAATGGTTAACGATGAACTGTTTGACAATAATCTGACATCTGGAGAGTGAGATGGTGGCTCAGTTTTTAGCCAGGTTTCAATCTGTCTTTAAGATTATATGTGTCATCACAACTAAATTGGTTTAAGTGTAATTAATGGTACTCACAATTTTGTACACATTTAATTGTGGTCAATTTGACCCACAGTACTAGAAAATATATTTAAAAACTCAGACCTCAATGTTTTACTGCACACTTTCAGTATTCAAGCCTGTTATCCAACATGAAATGTATTTTTCAAATACAAGTTGGGTGAACAAACATGATAAATTATGGATAGAAAAAAACTAATAGATTCTGCCAGAAAGTGAAAAGGGTAGACATTTGATGACAGTTTTATGAAAGAACCCTATTGAGAATATAGACTGAAAACAGAAGGCTTAAGAACAAGAATTTCATGTTGCTTAGCTATGATCCTAAATGCTTTGCCTTGTTTTTGGCTGTGGTTCTGTCTTCCCCTCTTTCAGAGACACCTATACAGCAAGATTTTTTTTTTTCAAGAAATGCTGACCTACCTCTATTTAGAGACTCCCATGTGGTTCTAAACCAGGTTTTAGCACTTGTATTTCAAAAAGTAAGCTTAATGATTGTGAAAATTGCTGGACCAAGAGTACCTAAGCATTAAGTCTTATATCTGCTGAAGCAGATCACTACATAAGACACACACAGCAGATAATACAGACCATTCTGTAATGGTAAAGTCATTCTCTCCAATTCATTCTCCACTACTATTGCTAATGAATGTCAACAATGAGTGGATTTTAAAAAATCCTACTCCACCTAGGATTTGTCTTAAGTTTGCTTCTGCAAAAATAAATAGGAAACATAACACTAATATTGGTGGCATAATATTAGGATTATGAAAATCCTACCCAAAATGTTAATGAATGTCATGTGAGTGATCCTTAGGTAACTGAGATGGAGGTTGGTTTCTAACAGTGATGGTGATGTAATTTCCTCCTGTCTGGTCCAAATCTCACTGAAAGGTTTCCATGGACTTCAACAGGTTTGGGATCAGGCTTTCAATAAAATGAGCTGTGCAAAAACCAGCACTGCAGCAGAACCAAAGTAGGATGATCCCTGAATTTCAAGCCAAAGTATTTGACAAAGCACGTGCTTTGGTCACATTGCTGAGGGTTTAGCCCCTCCCTTGGGACTGTGATAAGGAAGGTGGAAATGAGTAAGAGAAACACTGGCATCTCTGGCCTGAAGGTAGATCACAGTCAACTCCGGCTCCAAACTCAGCCTCAAGGCACGGAAAAAATGAAAAATGAAATTTTCTCATACTGGGAGTGATATTTTGCTATTTACGATGTAAAACAAATAAACAACCCCCCAACAATAATAATAAAAACTGTACAAAGAATTTTAAAAAAAATCAATCAATAGTAGTTATATTTTCTGCTTCAGTAACACCTTTCCACTGGGTCTCATACAGTGCCTTATCCAAAATAATGAATTAACTCTGAAAAAAAAATCACTGAATGAATCTATGTATTATTAAGCCCTTTTGATAAATCAAATTTCAATTGTTAGCTCCTAAACTGTTATTTTAGAAATCTAAAACAAATGGGTCCAATTTTTAAATGGACTGAGCCCTGAACTCCAGGTGAGAACTATTTATATTTGTATGGATATAAACTGAAAGGGGCTGTTTTAGAAACCAAAGTGGCAAAAATTACAAAACAGCCCAGCTTACAGAAGTGAAATTCCTACTGTGCACTGAAGTGGATCATTTATGTTCAATGTTTCTAAGCTGCATGTCTATTTGGGTCCTTTCAGTCCACACTTACTGTCTCCCTCAACAGGGCTGCGGGGGAGAGCTAACTGAAGCAACGTGAGATTTTAACAGGATGTCTTTACACTGACCATCAGCAGAGGATGAATTTTACCTAGAGTTTTATAGCACAGTGGGAAATACTGTGATTGCCTCGTCTAAACAACCTGCAATTGCATGTCTCCTTCCTTTGTACAGCGTATGACACTGCACATCTCAGACGACTCTCCAAAGAAGACAACCTATTTAAATTGTCTTAATTTCTGTGCTCTACTAACATTAGACCACTGGGAACAGGCGGCTCAGGAAATTGCTACTGCAATTCAAATCACCTCCCATGTGGAATGCCATCCTGTACTCAGGCAAATGTAGTTCACCATCGAGAACTACTACGAATGATCATTTACCATCCCACGTGAAATGAGCCGGTGACCTCAGGTCGGTGCCTACTGCAGGCAGGTGGGCACATTTCTTCTGCCACCATCACAGCTCGCAATAAAGGCTCATTGTTTGCAGTTTCAGCAGGGAGGCCAAGGACCAAATGAGCTTTCTGATGGAAGTGCCATCTTGAGCCTGGAGGTGGTCTACTCAAAAAAGACTGCACTGTCGTGTCAGGATAAGGTTAACAAAGGCTTGCAGAACTATCAAGCAACCTCTCCATTTTTAGTGAGTCCAAGAACATCAGTATAAGAGTTGGTGAATCTGTTTGTTTTTATGGGAATTCAGTTTCCTTCACTTTCTTTTACTTCTCACAGAAAATTATAAGATTTGTCTGCCAATGGGCATACGAAATAGCAGAGCATTCTGGAGAGATGTTTTCTGTCTTTGAGGCTACAGTGGGTCAAAATCATAAATACAAACACCCAGCTCTGCATCCTGTGCTGTATCAGAAGAAAACTTCTCTTTGCCACCCTGATGATGGAATATAGGTAATTCTTGTCTATATCTGATCTCAAGATGACTTCTCACATGTAGAGGAAACGGAAAGTGAGAAAACCAGCAGAATTCTAGCAGTTCAAAGCTCTTGCTTACTACTAAAAGTGGAGCACAAGGCTTCAAATTTCATCCACCCTAAGAAGTACACCAAGGAATGGGAAGAGTTGGAAGAGGGGACAGAAGACTAGAAAAAATTCCTGAAAGGTCACAAAAATTGCTCAGGGAGGAGCTACAACCATAGCCAGCCTCCCATCCACTCTGACCTCTTTCTCGGCAGTAAAAGCATCACAAGCAGCCAACTGGGTTTTGCAGGATCCTCTCAAAGCAGAGAAAAAGGCTGTTTCTCCTGCCCTCCATTTGCCTTAGGCAACTGCTTGTTTGGCCTGTGTCCTGGGATTTGGTTCACTGTTAGGCAAAATATAAAGGAAATGTGAATCTATATGCTTCAGCGCGCATGTCTGAAGGTTGACGTGCAATTTTTTTTCCTCGCTAATTAACTGAAACAGGTAACACAGATGTGAACATCTCTGATCTCAAGCAAGTTCTAATCACTGCTCACAGCAATGATGTGGAATTGTGGGCTTGTGGAGATCTACTGTGTGATCTGCTGACTGGATATTTCCTTTGGAATACATGAATTTTATATTGTGCTCAGTCAAGGCAGGAGAAGATTACAACTCTATATATAAATACTCTGACATGCTATTCAGCTTAGCATGAGACTAGTAAATTCACCAGAAGGACCATGAATGGTTGACATACCTGAGTAAAAACAAATTACAGATGAGCTCTTTAGGCAGAGCAGAACTCAGCATTTGATTTTGCAGGTGCAATCAAGATGTCTTTGTGAGTACAATTAATTACACTTATATATTCAGAAGTGATTAAAAAAACCCCTAAGCTAATCTGTCATTGACAAAGTCTACCTACACAACATGCTTGCTCATGTTCCTGAAATAGATAAATGGGAAGACATCAGAGATGCCCAGAATGGATATTCAAAGATAACCAGGAATGCTGCTTTGTATCTACGTAGAACAGACAGGTGGATCACCTACATAGATCAGACTAATAGCAATACTCTAAGTAAAAAAAGAAAAAAAAAAGCTGAATCTGCAAAGTGAAGACACTTTGTAACTCAGCAGAATTTAGAACTGCTTTAGAAAGTTAATTGTTTAAGAACTGCTTATTTAGCCCAAAGAAAATTTGGAACATTTCTCCCATAATTTCTGTGTTTTTTCATGGTTGCAAATTCTTAAGTTTCTTTTTACTTTTCTCCAGTTGGGGAAATTTTTGCAGAAACAGTGCAGCTGTCATAACACTGTGAAGACAGCCAGAAAGAGTGACTCACAGCTTAAACAAGGTGAACATCTTCAATTTCGGTTCCCTCTATAGACTGTTTCTATCTCTTACCACTAACTGTGGTGTTCTAGCTGCAGTATGTCAGGAGGCAGAAGATTTAGGCCCCAAAACACTTTCTTGAGTTGACAATAAAAGAAAGAGGAAATTCAATTTTTAATTATATACAGATAAAAATCCAAGTATAGGTAAATTGAATCAGCAGTGCTTCAATAGTATGCACTCCTCATGGCTGGGCTCACAGGCACCGTTTATCCAATTAGACACCATATAATCTTTAACAACTATCCTATATGATCCTTGAGTGCACCTCTGAGAGAACAGATCACTTCCCCTCTGTCAGCTGGTCATCCTTCTCCACTACTGCTGATATCCTTACCTGCTGGTCAGAGTATCCACCTGGAGAAATGAGGAGCACATGATTTAAAATTGTACCCAGAGTATCACTCTCCAGATATCCAAACACAGACTATTGCCTGACACTTCATTACTGGGGATTTTTTTTTCCCCACTCCCATTACTGCTTGGAAACCCTTCTTTTTGCAGCAGCTGTCTTAGCAGCACATCTCCTCCAATGGAGTAATGAAGATTGTAATAATACCTCCTGAAGAACTTCTATTACCTGTCTCTTTGCCCGATGGCCAGTGATGGATCTTTTTCTCTGGTTCCTCTACTGCCCTTCCTATGTGGTTGGCCCAAGTACTGAGGACATAATTTCTATGAGGCATCAAGTCCTCTCTCCTGCTCAGAGATAATTTTCCCTCTCTCATGACCACAAGACAGGGGACTTCAGGGCTGCCCACTCAGGTGACAGGTACAGGCCCTGAGCAAATTCATTTAGAGCTCATCAAAGAGGTAATAAGTTAGAAACAAAGAAAAAGAGGATGCATTGAAGTCCTCATACCATATTTATCCATGTACATAGAATGGCTGTAATCACCCAGTCATGCCCAAATATGGAATTAGAAGCCTGATCCTAGGAGATCTTTTTTTTTAGAATCTTGTGAGGAATGTTTGCTGGCTTGATTCCTCTAATTATGTGGCTCCCCAGGGCAGTAAAGTTTTTCACTACTGGGGACAATATCCATTGTTTTTAATCAAAGCTACTAAAATGATGTTTTGCAGCCAGGGTTATACTGCAGAACTGAAATACAGATAAATGTCTGCATGTCTTAAGAATGCTTAAACACTAGAAGGACTTCTCTTGCTTCTCTGTTCATCCTTAGAAAAGGTCAGAGGGAAATGATCTTTTCTCTCTGCATCATGCCAGGCTTGTAATCTGCACAATAGAGAAGATGGGCTTACTGAAGAAGAAACGTGCCCAAGACTCTCTCCAGGGAAAACAGTCTCCTGCTAGGCTGTGTGTTAGATATATTCAGCAATGTGAAAATTTCTCCTGTGAGAAGACATAATTTGGCAGGAGTCTCATCCTACAGATGTGAAGGGATTTGTCTCATGCTCTCGCTCTTCCTTCAATCCTACTGACTCTTCCAGAAATTTTACTATAATCCCCTTCTTCTATGGCAAATGGATTGCTTTGCCCACAGGAGAGCATAGTGGTGTCCTCTTCCCACAGAGTACAGGTAGAGGAACATGTTACAGGCAAAGAATTGTCTTATATGCCTTGGATTTACTCAAAAGACTCACTCTGTGATATTAGGAATGCCATATTTTGCTATTGGCACAGCAACAGCATAGGCCTTCTCTTAAGGTTCTTGAGATCAACCCGCCACTGACTGTTGTTTTGGTAACCAGAGAGTAGGAACAGAAATACAAATTTTAAAAAATAAACAATAATAAAACATTTTCCTGGTACTGCTTACCCGCTAAGTACACCGAGAACCAAGTTAAGTACAAAAAATGACCCTATGATGATTAGTGTAACAAAATAGATCCAGGGCCAGTCCCTTCCTATGGCATCATTGACCTGGAAGAGTGGAATGATAATTAGTGAGACAAGCTCAGATTCTGAGCACTGCAAGGCTCCAGCCAAAGAGATCCCAAGTCACCAGCAGTAAGATTTTTCAATAGCCAGTTTTCTGAAAATTTATGACAGGTTGACATTAGTGATTTTGAATGCCCTGAGGTTGAATTTCTTTGTCAGAGAATAACACCGCTTTTGTTACCTGTATTGTTATTTACAATATTTGAACATTTTGTCAAAGTATTTCAGAGCTGATGTGAAGCTTCCTTGAATTCACATTTTTAATCCCTCTGAAAGTATCCTGGTGACAGGGAAGAACCCTTATTATGGAGTCTTGCCCTGTAGCATTGGAAAAAGGACACCAAAACTGTCAGCTTACCCGCTCAACACACCAAGAACCAGATTTAGAACGAAAAAGGATCCAAAGATGACCAGACTGACAAAATACACCCATGGTAACTCATAGCCCATAGCGTCCTGCATCTGGAAAGACGAAGGAAAGTTAGAAGACAGAGAGGGAAAGCAGAAATGATTAGGCAAAGGAACAGATGGAAAGGTTTGTAAACAGAGCCTGTGGTTGGTTTACACATAATCATAGCAAGTGTTTCTGTATGTTCTTTCTTATGTGACCGCTCCTTTGATTGTTCTTTTGATCTGTTTCCTTACAGTCAGTGATTAATACAGGCTAAGATATAACCATGTACCTACTGGCACTTTCTTTAGATGCTCAAAGCTGTGGATTGTTACTTTTTGGAGTTTACTTACAGCACCACAAAGGGTCCACCCATGACTTCTGAACTTCTACTCCCTGCACACACACACGACCCTCTGCTGCCAGTGAAAATATTGCTGGTTTTTGCTAAGTGTTGCCACAATGTGTTGCCAGATCATATTCACTTCCCATGTATAGCACAAGTACAGGTACCTCAGAGAGGAGCATGTGGGAACTGTGGCCAAATACTGATCTTTCCCCAGCAATGCTCTGGTAATTTTCCCAGTTTACCACAGTGAGGGCAGTAGCTTTATACTTTCGAGGAAGGTCATTTCAAGGCCCAATGTGTCCTGAGCTGGTCAAGTGTTTTCTAAAGCTTCCTCACAAACTTCCTTTCTCTGCTTGAAGGATGAATCACTTATCAAAATGTGATTCCTATGCAACTGAATAGTAAGAGAATTGGAGACTGCAAACTGAATGATCTCACACTATTACAAGCATCTGCAAACAGAGCAAGCAGACTATTGTTTTAGGACCAGAACCTCTATTATGTGTGGTTTAACTCCAGCACATTATAAGATCTTGTATGTATTCTAAAAGCATCTAGTACATAACACTATTTTATCTTGAAGTCTCCTTCAAAGTTCAAAATTTTGGAAAGTTGCTGGATACCTTAATAGAGTCTCACTTTCATGATGGTATCAAAAATACCAGAGTCTCTTCTTTACTGTTCATAAACACTTATCTTCGGAGCCAGACGTAGCATCATTAAAGAAACAGATGGTGGTTAACATTTTCAGGAGCACTAAATTGATTTGTGAACATAAATTGCAGACTTGAAAGTACCTAAAGGCGTAAAGCAACCTACGTTCCTTTGTTTTCCACTCTTTTGAAAATTTTATTGTATGTTGTCTTCTCTTTCCAGGAAAATGTTTTTTCCTTTGCAACCTACACGTTTGCTGGGATCTCAGAAAAAATATTCTTCCATACATGGGCACTGAGACACACTTCGGGAGAGGGGATCTGACTCAAGATTTGTAACAACTCAGAAAAAGAATTTCAAACCTTCAGTAAGAGAAGGCAGGAGAGAACACTAATAATTGGTTCTTTGTGGATAGAAGTCCATTATCCATTTTTCTTCCAAAGCAGAATCACTAAAGTCCTTGTCTGGCAATAGTCCACAGTCAATGGGCCGATCCAGAACTCCATCTCAAGGCTCCTTCAGCTGTGACTGAACTGAAGTAGACTCATTAAAAAATAAGCTTGAAATCTCCCTCTGTGAAAACAGTTCATCAGCTCCTTCCTCACAGGATGAATACATTTGGTGGTCAAAGGAGAGTACCTGAACCTCTAACACCCCCCAACCGTATTAAACAGCTTCTCTTTTATAGTTTTGTAGAATTTTTCAGTTAGTTTATAAATCATACTAATTATTCTTTGTGTTTGCAAGCCACATTTCACCCCCCACAACCAAAAAGTAGTATACACCTCTGGTGTATACTACACATCAGTGCTTTAATGAGAACAAAGCATTATGGTGTATAAAGATGGAAGGAAATATTCACCTGAGATCCCAGTGGGGAAATCAGGCAGGCAAAATGTAACTGCCCAAGCTGGAATTAAGTAAAGAAATGAGACTTAACAGCCTCTCTCTTCTACAAAGAACGTCACTGTCTATATAAAACGATCCGCACAAACAATGAGTATGGATGACTTTGAAAAACTGCCATAAGAATTTACCACTGTGGGCACACTGACGACTTGACATCCCTCTAATTATGATAGATGGTGATAAAAAAGTCTGAGCTGTATGGTATTTATCTATCAACAGTTTGGGATTTTTTTTGTCAAGTGGGAAAGTCAGCTCGAAAAGTAGAACTTCTCAAAGCTGTGGTACAAGTGAATCCTAAACAGCAAAGGCCAGGGTGACAGATACAGAGTTCAGGTGCATGTCAGGGTACTCAGAGAAGTACAAAGCTTCCCTGGCACAAAGAGATTTCCAGATGGCAAGAAGCTTCCACCATAGCCTGGTAAAGTATATACCTAGAATATAGTGTACCCTGGCTATTCCCAATGCCTGCACAATTGTGTAATGATCGTACCAGCTTGCATCAGCACAAATGAGCCCTGAAAAACAGACCTGCATTCTGGTACAGCAGAGCATTTGGGACTTCTCAAGACTGAAAATTTCGGAAGTCAGCTTTTCATCTCCTTTTTATTGCACAGTGATATACGTAACAGAGAAGCTGAGGGGCAGAGACAGCAATAGCTTCTCAAGCATAGAGAAACCATCAGTTTTTGCCAAACAGCTGAGTCCTTCTCTTTGTTGCTGGACTTGCCTATGTTTGGTGCTTTCTTGTCTCATTTCTTTAGTAGCAGGCAAGATTATTCCATACATAGTGGGACTGACCCATAGGTGACAGGAATATATGTTATATATTGATATAACAGTAGGTGTTTGGTAAATTAAGTTAAAACCTCCCTGTAATAAGGAAACAGTACACTGTGAACTTGCTACTTGCTCCTGAAAAACATCTGCAGGAGAAATGCAGAGAAATAGGTTGTTTGGCGAAAGTGAAAGTTGGGGGGGGAAGAAAAGTAACAGACTTATTTAAAACAGCAACAGCTAAGTACCAACATTTAAGGAACATTAAATTCCTGGCTAAGACTGTATTCTTCCAAATATCTGAAAATGCTTCCTCCAAAACAGAAGTATCCTAGAAGTCCAGGATGGACTGTCCTTAATGATAACTGCATGGGAGCATTGTTCAGGAAGAGCCTTGCACCTGCGTTTGAGTGAAGCTGTTTCCTGGAAACTCATCACCATTCTGCAAATCTGCAGCTATTAATGCTGCATGTTTGCATGCACATGTCCTGCTGATTACAGCTGTAGCCTTTCACTGCAAGCCTAACTTAGGTGGTAGAGCTGATTTCTCCTCATTGTGCTGTTAAAGTGGAGAAGATGCAAAGGGTCACAGCAAGACCAGGGGTGTTACCATTTGCACACTACAGAGTGCAGAAAATGAGGTGTGCAGAATAGCTTTTGTACTGTTGCCTACAGTGAACAGGAAATGGTTCAGTTATAGGTTACCTTTCCAGGATGGACAACTCCTGATACACAATTCAGTTTTCTGGTCACTGAGGGCACCACTTCTCCCAGAGTGTTTCCTACTAACCCTATGAATCTCAACGAAAAAGGTGGATCATCTTCTGAAATCACAGTTCTGAACACAGACTATCAGCCAGGATAGGTCTGAATGATAATACTCCAGCTCCAGTAGTCAATGTGATTGCAACCTGATGCCAACTTAAGCATGTATTGAACAATTTTTACGTCAGCTGGAAGCACAGGATCAGTGGGAATCTGAAGATTGTCATTTATAGAAATAATTCTGCTTTCTGAGTCAAACTGCCTGACCTTTCATAGCTCACATCTCAACACTCACGTGTCACTACTCTCAACAGTCAGGAAGTTGGCACATTTCAGAGCATTAATGCATCATCTCTCAGAGACCTCAGGGATAAAGATCTTAGATTCCTTCTCATGACTTGCTGCATACCCTCTCCAGCACCGTAGGGGCATCATTTGGCTCGCTGTGCTTCAGCTTTCCAACCTGCAAAGTGGAATACTACCTTGCCTCACTGGGCACTGTCAAAGAAACCACTCAGCATCATGATGGGATATTGAAGCATATTTGAGGTCTGATGGACCTTGTATACTGCAGAAGAGCTCTTTTCTTCACCAGGCATCCCTAATTGCTATCATGCTTACAGGATTTCAACAAAGGCTTTTCTCCCAGTGATACAAGTAATCGCTTAGAAATAACAGTAGGATGTTTAATTCTGTAGTTTGCTGATCACAATTACTACCAGCAGTTTCAGTAGGGGCCAAGGAATAAAAATCTATTTATCTCTATAAACAGACCTTTGTGCCTATGTCTTCTGGTTCTTCAGAAGACGCAGGAGAAGACACATTGGTAAGGCCACAGGAGATATGCATGCATTACTTGTTTAGTGGGTTTTTTTCTTTCCCAGGGATAATAGTCTGGCACATTTTGCAAGTATCTCATTCCTTACACAGGCATCATAGTTCAAAGACAATGTTAGAGGCATATTACCTATTAACATAGTGGCTGAGCATGACCAAGCACATAGTGGAGGCCTTTCAGTCACTTAATGGGAGGGGCAGACACAATTCACTCAGTTCTGCTGACTTTACAAGACACACACTCACACCCTGACACTTTGTGGCAAATGTCTTTCAAAAATAACGGCGAGTTACGGGAAAAGTGTAATCCATCATAGAAGGGCAGCTGTCACAGGAAAATAGCAAGCTGAAGAAAAAAATTAAACCTGTCTTGTTCAGTGCACAGCGCTGGAGAGCTGCAGCTTATCAGAGAGTGAGTTTGTTAGGACACCTGGGTTAGGCTTCTATTCCTTGAATAAATTGCTAATTGATTTCTAATTACTATAGAGTTTTATCATAACCTTTTTTAAATGCAAGTGCTACAAGTATTCTATAATGAAGTGTACTATTCTGTAATGAAGTGTATAACCTTTCACAGAGTAACACTCATCAAGAGGACCAGAGTAATCAATAAAATTAAAGGGCAGTAACTTCTGAAATTTTGTGTAGAAGTGCTATTTTATGTAGCCTATCTGTGGAATTCACTGCCTCAGGAAATGATCTAGCCAAAAGTAATGATCATGGCCAGTAGCAAGATCTCTAGTTGAAACCAAGGATTTCTTGTAACAATCTAAAACTGGAGAA